AAAAAAAAAAAAAAAAAAAAAAAAAAAAAAAAAAGGTCAGGTATAGAAGCATGTACTCACAGAGTTAAAGGGGAACATAAATACTCTCCAGGCTTATAATAGATTTAAAGTCACTCAAACATCCAAATGATCAAAAGTATAAGTACTTTAAGGAAGGCCAAAGATATGATAATCTTGTCATTTTAAATTTCCATAAATTATATAGCTATGAGACAAAAAGGTACAACTCATAACTAGCCTAAGAAAAATGAAAGTAAATAACTGATTCACGTTATTTTTCTTACCAATACAGAAGTAAAGGTTTTACAACCTCAGATTGAATATTTTTTAAATGTTCTTCAGTCCACTGAGATCCATCTAACAGTTTAAATTTTGATAAGATTTCTGCAGAAAGGTAGCAATCTCCACTGCTCACTAGATAGCATTTTTTCATCTTCTCAAGATGTCTGAAATAAAACACATACCCACATATACACACCCATTGATAAAATATTCAACTACCCAAATGTTTTCACTTCTAAAATGTTTAAGACAAGTAATGAACTATCTCAAAACCAACACTGAGTGTCAGGGGTTCCAAACATTTTTGTGGAGATAAAAATATTTCTCACAGTTATGGGAATGAGAAGGGTATTTGTGGTAGGCTGAATAATGGCCTTACAAAGCTGTCCACATCCTAATCTCCAGAACTTGTGAATATGTCACCTTACATGGCAAAAGGGTCTCTCAAGGTGTGATTAAGTTAAGGACTTTAGGGAAATTATCTTGGATTATCTCGGTAGTCCCAGTGCAATCACAAGGATCCTTCTAAGAGGGAGGCAGAAGGGTTAGAGTCACTGGGAAAAGATATGAGGCAGAAGAAGAGGTCAGAGAGAAGATAAGATGCTAAAGCCAGATGCTGCTGGCTGTAATGATGACGAAAGGGGCCACGAACCAAGGAATGTAAGTGGCCTTCATAAGCCAGTATAGGCAATGAAATGGATTCCCCCCAGAGCCTTCTGACCCTCAAAACTGTAAGAGAATAAATAAAACAGTTTGAGCCACTAGGTTTATAGTTATTTATTACAGCAACAGTGGGAAATACAGTATCGATCCTGAAAAACCTATGTAGGTTACCTGCATATAACTTCCCTGATATGTCCTGAAAAGTATAATAACCTTCCACCCCATGATCAATCAGGTCACGCTTCATAATCAACCCTTTGGTGACCCCTGCTCTTATAACTATATACAACAATGACCCCTATGATCTGAATTCCATTAAAATAACTAGAATAACTCAGTCACTAATATATACAAAGTCAAACCCTTAATGCAAATTGCAATCTACTATATGAGTAGTTGATCTGCTTCAGAGCAGATCAGGAAAATACAGACAAGAACTTTTCTATAATAGGGTCCTCTTAAGGTTCTCGAACTTACAGTAATCTAAAACATAATGGAGCCAGCCAATGAAGATCTGAGCCCCATAAGACCACTGAGAGGCTCCCCAGCAGAAAGACTCATTCAGATATCCAGCTACGTGGCATCTGACTAAGGATCATGGAATTTGTAAACAGAGCAGGCTCCTAGGAACAACAGGCCCTTATTCTGGCATAAGTATGGTTATATAACTAATAATTTTTTTTTCTATAAAAATTCTATATCACTGGAATGTTATAAATACTAAAATAGAATAATTTGAAAGTAAAGTCTTGGAATTTATGGGAAGAAACATTGTGCAAACCGAAATAAGTGCTATTACTAGTATCTATCTGAAAGCTATGAAATCAGAAAACTAGTGAATCAATATTATAATAAAATAAATTTTATTATTATTCATTCCTCCAAGAGTATAAATTACATTTTTATATTTTAAATAATGCAAACTAATATTCTATGATTTAAACTATTGAAAAATAAAAAATAGAAATACCTTTGATGTCGTCCAGGGTCCTTAAGAACTTTTAACCTCTCAATATCCATCCATAGCCACCAGTATCTCTCTCCTAATGTACCTTTTATAAATTTCTTAAATCTTTCAAACTCCTTTCTATTGCCAATATCATAAGTTCTGTGAGAAATACACCAGTCAGCCCTGCTCTCTGGTCCAATGCTCTCACTCTTTGAACTTAAACTCATTTTTTCTAATATCTTTTCTGACTTTTCCTTTGTCGTTTGAATTGGTTCAATTAAAGAATCCTCATCAGGGAAAGATTCAAAACAATGATCAAATGACACTTGAGTTACATTGTTGAAGTTTACATAGTCTGGGTTTTCTCCAAATTGCTCTCCAGTAATTTGCTGAATTGCTGCTCTAAAAATAAAGCTTACATAGGCGTTTAAAAATTCTTCACATGTTGAGAAATGCAATGTCAGGCTTTTGTCAACATCCTGTTGCTTTTCAAGGTATATTCTCAGAAGAGCTTGAGAAGGAGTGTCTTGCAGAGATATAGACCCTTCTTCTTCAAATTCAGAAATTAATTTGGTGGTTTTAGATGGGTCCTTTTTTGTCCTGGGGTGAACTCCATCATCAAAGATAGAACTCTCTGTATTAAATCATAAAAGGCTATTAGATTAGGTATGAATACAAAACTTTTTTATTATTAAATGATGTTATAGAGCCAGGATGGCAAAATGGTTTATCTCAGATAGTGACAGCATGGACCAGTATCTTAAGAAGAATTTCGAAACCACATTTGGAACCAGTAGGGAAAAACTGCCAATAGGGATTAACCTTGTCTTCTCTGGACATGGAAGGGGAGAATGGTGGCAGATGGACTAAAATATTTGATGTACCTACACAGAGGATATTACATAAGACATTATACACTTTTAAAATGTAGAATTTCAGACTAACATAGAATGTCAATATGTAAAGGTCAAAACTATTAAGGAATTAGAATATGTATATTAAATGATTATATATTTTTTAATATTTCATGTTGTATGACAGAGGAATATTAGCTACCATAGATGATGAGACCATAGATGAACAGACCAGAAATGGAGTCAACAACGGCAACTTTTAAAAGTTCACTATTTTATCAGAAAGATTCTATTACCATCATACTTACAACCTATCATTAAAGTTACAAAATGGCATAAGATACTCAGGAAGGCTTACAAGTGGATTATTTTTACACTTTTTCTAAATATGTAGTATTTAACTCCTATTTGTTCTTTCTTTCAGAAATCAGTGAAATATCTGATGTCAGTGCTTTATTTCACATGATAAATCTACTCCTGAAATGTCCCGGGTCAGGTAACTGCTGTCATCTGTGTCCCACCCTCAGCGACCATTTTCTTGGTCACCAGATTTCAAATCTCAATGAACTGGAAATGTTTCGTTACAATTTTTATTGAAAATAAACACACTAAATGTCCCCAATATTGAGAGGTTAGACTTTGTAAACCTGTACTGGACATACAATCAATCCCACAGAAGAGAAGGGAAGATATGGTAGACAGCAAGGCAGGCACATCGCTCACCTCTTTCCTGCCAGACTTTCTCTTCCTTTTTACTATTTTTACTCTTCAATTTTCAACTTTAATATTTTAGGGGAAACAGCAATAAACCTATAAATACAGCTATCTTCAATGAGGGTGATTATTTTCATCTTTTCTTCAACTTAGGTTCAATTCTACAGAATCCAGATTTATCTTCCCCAGAGGCTGCTTATACTTCTCAAAGGGATTAGTTAAGAACTGCTGGTAAGTTCCTGGGCTGGCTGGTTAGCTCAGTTGGTTAAGAGCATGGTGCTGATAACACCAAGGTCCAGAGTTCAATTCCCATACCAGCCAGCCTCAAAACAAACAAACAAACAAAAAACCTGTTAGCTAATTCCTGAGTTCCCATTTCTGGAAGGGTCCTTCTATTTTTATGAAAAGTTTGTATCACCCACAAAAGCTCCCCACAGTAGAAATTTATCTGCTTTTCAAGGTGAAAAATAGTCAGAACTTAAAAACAGAAGGAAAACTCAATTTCCATCAATGACTATTTACTTTTACAAAAACAGAAATTTACTCTGTCTGCCTGAGAGAAAAAATAAAGGAAGAGAGAGATGTTGCACCCGCTTTATTGCAAAGGCTTAATAACAATAATTTGTAAACTGTGACAAGAAATAAAGACAAGCCAAACATTTACTTACTGCATATTAGGTACCAAGCACCAGGCTAGGCATGTTCTATAAATTTAGTACATATAATTATTCTAATATTACAGATGAGAAAAGCAAGTCTCCCAGAAGTGGAATAACTCATCAAAAGTTACAGTTAATAAGTATAGGAGTTGGGTTCTAAATCCATCCCCTCTTCACTATACCAAGGTGTCTCTCCAGAAACAGTAGGAAATGAAGTAGGGGTGGGGGGATGTGGGTAATTTTTCCTTCTCAACTACTAAGTGCTGTACTGTAAGACTAGGATAAACAAAGACTAAAGAGAAGTTCTGAAGTCATTCCTGTCCTTTTCTGCTTACCAGAAACAGATGAAACAACTGGTAATTCAATTTTGTTGTAGGGTACACAACAGGGTAATGAAAAGGTTGATACTGTCTGCTCACTTTGTTTTGCTAGCGCAAACCAATCTTTTGTTTGAGTATAGGAGGCCTAGGGAAAAAGGAGCATATTAGGTTACCATTAGATTAGCAGTATTCCTCCGATCACAAACATGGACAAATCATTATAATAATATTTAACTTGTGCAGTACAATACATAACGGAAAAATTATCCCATGAAAAAAAAGAAAATTGTACTGAGAAGAAATCATTAGCTGGGCCGGCCCGTGGCTCACTCAGGAGAGTGCGGTGATGATAGCACCAAGGCCACGGGTTCGGATCCTATATAGGGATGGCTGGTTCGCTCACTGGCTGAGTGTGGTGCTGACAACACCAAGCCAAAGGTTAAGATCCCCTTAGCGGTCATCTTTAAAAAAAAAAAGAAATCATTAGCTAAGAAAATAATGAGAAGGAAATTTCAATCCAGATTTTTTTCGTATTAGATAACCAAAGGAAAAAAATGAGCCCAATATCCATTAAATTGTTCTTCACTCTTACTGTTGGGCTATTGCTGACCGAAGGCATGAAACCCCACTTCCTGGATTCACTACAAACTCAAGTCATCTTACTTCAACTTGGTAGTCACCACGGCTCATCAATCCTGAAAGGAAAAAAACCCGGCCCAAGCGCAAAAGAAACACACCAGGAGACAGGGACTCAACCAAAGTGTACTAGGCGGGCAAAATGAACAAGCAGGCTGCCCTCTCCGAAGTGGGGGCAGCAGCAGGGAGAGTCCAGCTGGGCCTTTTATATCCAGTCAGGCTGAGCTGGACTGTTCCTATTGGCAAAGAAGGAAGTGGGGGGAAGCGAGCGTGGTTTAAGCTGAGTTTTGGGGTTTTTCTATAGGTGGAGAAATTCGCGTGCATGGGAAGGGGATGTGGTGGTGAAGAAGGGGGAGGGGTTTTTTTGTGTGTGACTCTCAGAAAACGTGCTATTCTAGGGACCTCAAACTCTCCGCAGCCATTTTGGGTGTTCCTCCCCTCCACCGCTGCTGTCTTAGACATCGGCTAAAACATAATTGCCTAACAAATCCTTTCATGCATCTTTTACTCGCCATTCCCATTTACACCTTTCCCAATTATTTCATGCCCTTAATTCTGTCTGACCTGGCTCAGTGTTTTTAACAACTCCTCCCTCAGCATGACAGACACTACTCTTAGTACACTGGAAACCTCTCAAAGCTTGGCCCCTTTGCCTGTGACTCAGTTTTCACAACTTTCTTTGGATTGGAGGCTTCCTGCAGACTGATCCCTCACTCCACCTGCCCCTAGATGCAGCCCTCAATTTTTCCTTTGTTTTGTGTACCTCTGACCCAGCTGACCTAATTCCCAAGCTGATCCTTAGCTTTTAGAACCTCAGCCCTAAGAAGCTCCTATTCCAGCTTTCCTTAGAAAATTCCTCTGCCTGCCTCTAAGTAATATCCTCTCCTATTTTTCCTAGAGAATCCAAGTTATTCAAAAGGAGCAGAGAAGGGAGTGTCCAGCATTCCTCTCATTTCTCTTTTCTCCACTTTCCAACTGAGTCAGCTGGTTGGCACGTAGCCTAAGGAACACTTGCAGAAGAGGCAGGGCTCAAATGGAAGAGATGTTATTCTCGGTCTACTATACAGAATTAACAGGGAAAGTCATGAAACACAATGAGACCAAAGTGAGAGAGAGAAAATGAGAGATGCCATTTGTGTAGTCACTACCCGTCTTAGAGGTAAGATTTCTTGCTTTGAAAGACTCTAGTTCACTTTTGTTCTCTCTTTTCTTTCCCTTTAAAACCAAGTCACTTATTATTAATTATATGTTCATGCAAAATGTATTTACTGAATGACTACTCTTCCAAGCAATAGCCTCGGCACTGAGAGGAGGCCAACATAATTAAGGAACATTCAAGGAATTGAGAGAGACCAATATACAAGTGTCCCTGCTATTTCAACTGCACAAAAAGGATGAGGGAGTAGAGGACAGGGAAGAAAGAAGTAATCAGTCAGACATAAAAGCACTTAATTATTCCACTTTATACCTTTAAGAGATGGGTCAACTGTTTGTTTAGATGGAATAACTGAAGACTCAAAGAAATACTACCATATTACTTTATTATTATAAAAGTTAATCGCTATCTATAGTCATGGCTTAAGTAATTTTTAGGGCCCAGAGAACTTTGAATCCTTAAAGTTCAAAGGCTATTGAAAAATAATAGTATATAGTTAAAGTAATTAATAAAGTGAGGAGAAATTAGTTTTTTCATGTCAGAAAATAGCAAAAGTAAACTTGCTTGAATTTTTACTCCCTTATATTTGATTAAATTCACACCTAAGTAATCAGAACATACTCCCTGAATTTATTCTTCCCTTTGCATGTTTACTGGACTCACCTACCAGTACGTAATTTTATGACATTCCTGACATTTCTATAATATATAAGTTAAAAGAAAAAAATAAATCTTTAAAAATAAGACTAAGAAAAAAAAAGAAAATGTCCCTTTAGTACACCACTAAGCATTATTCAGTAGAAATAATAGAACTAGTATAATTTTAAAAATTTTTGGCAAATATTGCTGATAAAAATGCCTAACTAGAAAATGAAATAGGAGATACACATGAAAAAAAATGTTCAAATAACCTAAGTCTATCCATTCCAACACAGATGGCAAAGAGGTTTCCTCTTGAATGACATCTATCACTTAGAAGTGCCTATGCAGAATACTGTGTTGAGAAGAATTTGGAGTCAAGTCCTAGTTCAGTAGAAAAACTGCCACGACTGATTAGCAATGTCTGTTATGAATGGAGACTTTAATGCAGTTGAAATAGCAAGGATACTTGTATATCAGTGTCTCTCAATACCTTGAATGTTCCTTAGTTATTCTGGTCTCCTCTTAGTGCCTAGGGTAATGCTTGGAACAGAGTACTCCTCAGTAAACATATGTTGCATGAACAATGGCAGTATATGGGCTACATATCTGCCATTCTTGATTTTGTATAGAATTGTGTATTGGAAATGTGTTTCCAGAGATAAGATATGCTAGTTAGAGGCCAAAGATCAAACGACAATTTTCAAGACACTTTGACTTTCCAAAAGGACATGTGATTTTAGATTATATGAGTATCTCTTCAAATAAACTCATATAACCCCACATTTCTCCAATCATGGAGGGCAAATTTATCTGGAAACAGTTAAACAGTAATGCATTTTACTACTAAGAAATAATCTAGACAATAAGGAGGAAAAGACCCAATTTATCATCTTTTTGAACAAAAGTAATAAAATTCAAATAATAAAAATTTTGGAGTGAATAATGAAACCATGGCTATACTTCAAGTTACCCTTGCTTCCCAGGTGACACTGAATATGTTCTTCAATCTTGCCTTTGTTGCTTCAGACACATGAGGATAATACTCTCAATTACATTTCAGGTGAAAGAACACAGAGCAAATGAGTCAGAATAAATCCCCAAGCATTACTGATAAATCTGCTCTAGAAGTATTTGAAATCATTTTCCCTGTTCAAGTGGTACAAATGGAGTTCATGCCCCTAAAATGAGAATTTCACTGAAGTGCCAACTCACGAAAAAACACTCATACTTTTACCTCACCAAGAGAAATGTAGAACTTTTTCATAATTATAAGGTTGTCTTCTTCAATGGCAGGAGGTGGTAGACTGGGTGTTTTTTTCAGGACCCAGGGAGAAAAATGTGTATCTATTGTGAAATTCACACCTGACTTGCTCCATCTTACTTGTGACACCAACTTGGCTAACCTGCATTTAGAAACAATACAATTTTGAAATAAGTTTCAAATATGGTAGAATTCAGGAAAAAAACTAAAATTTTATTTTCTGTGCCCAAGGCAATCTCCCCTCCTAACTCTGCAGTATGATTCTTTTAGGCTCTGTTAAAATTAATGACTTATTCATAGGACTACTCATTAATTAATAATTATTCTGCTTATTTTATTTTGATTTAAAAAATGGTTGTTCTAAGCAAAGGTTATATTTTAGGTACTTATACTTTAAAAGCCAGAGAACATAAAGGAAAAACCTGGCTCTGCACTATGACATTCTATCTTTTTCATGTCACACTAATATTCATTTTTAAACACACTGCACATAAATACCAGTATTCCAATAGATGATTTTTTAAATATAGTGATCAAGAAGTACAAATGAAGTACACTTATTAGGTAATGTTTCTGTAAAATCACTTTGGAAAAGTTAAGTAATTTCTACCAATCCTCTATCACTCTTACTTTATAGCAAAGGGGATCCAAACTCCAATGGATTAAAAGGTGTACAAGTTTACTAACAAATAACAGATAAATGATTTTAGGTGAAAAAATAGGACTTGTAAAAAAAGTTGTATATTGATGGGACTACATACCTGTATTCAAAGTAACAATCACTTTCCAGAAATGCTGGAAGTCTTTCTTTTTTGATCCACTTAATACCTTGTTCACGATTGAGACACTATTAGAGAGTGGGGGGAAAAAAGAGTGTCAAAGAAAATCACCTTTTAGGATAATTAAGGCCTAATCATGAGTACAATAAAGATATCTAGCTATTACTAGGAGCCCCACCCCTACATTGTATTTGCACAGGAGAAACCAATAATCTTGAGCCACAAATGTGGCCTCTGGTATCTCTTTAACACACTCAACAACCCTGTGTCAACTATTATCTCCATTTTACAGACTAACAAATTGAATCCAAAAAAGTTAACTAACTTACTGAAAGAGCAGGAATGAGAAAAAAGCCAGTTTGTCCAGTATTTTCACAGCCATAAAATGGTTTAAAAATAATCAGAAACAGAAAAAGAAACATGCAATAGGTCAAATGTGTCCCTCTCAAAGTTCATGCATTGGAAATTTTATCTCCACTGCAAAAGCATTAAGATGGTGAGAAATCCAATCATTGGTATTTGGAAAGTAGGGCCTTTGAGGTGATTGGAGTATGAGGACTGTGCCCTCATGAATGGATTAATCCATTTGTAAAGTAATGAGTTATCCTGGGTGTGTCTGATGGCTTTGTAAGGAGAGTGAATAAATTAGCTCTTGCTTAGGCCATTCTCACCATGTGACTCACTGTATCTCTGTAGAGGGTCACCACCAAGAAGACCCACACCAGTTGTGCCCCCTGGACTGTGGACTTCCAAGCCTCCAAAAGTTTAAGAAATAAATTATATTTCTTTATAAATTACCCAGCTTCTGGTATTCTGTTATAAGCAACAGAAAATGTACTAATAAAAAACACCCAAGAAAACTTAGTAAGGCTACCAAGGTCACTAAGTCCCCTGTTCTTCCAGTTTTAAATTGTTTTGTTAAATATTTAACATCCCCAGATACTTCCTAGATATACCAAGGCTAACAATCATAGTAGAGTTTTACAAGGGCCATAGTACATACTTCTGTGGGAACCCACCTGGGCATTAAACCTATGAGAGGTTTCCCACAGAACATGCCCTTTGCTCAGTCTTTGACCTATAGCATGACTAGCTAGGTTGAGGAGAAGAGCAGAAGAGGAAACAAACAATAAGTTTAGTAGTATTAGATCACAGAATGAGATCTGAGGGATGGAGGGAAGAAAGTTGGGGAAGTGGGTAGGGACTGATCATGAATAGTCTTTTAAATTATATTAAGGAGCTTAGGTTTTATCTTGAGGTTGTGAGGACAATACGATTTTTTTTTTTTTTTTTTGGTGGCTGACCAGTATGGGGATCCAAACCTGTGAGCTTGGCGTTATAAGGCTGTGATCTAACTGACTGAGCTAACTAACTGGCCAGCCACAAATTATTGAAAGTTATTAAGTTGTTATTATCTTAAAATATTTACTCACTATTCTATTTTTTCTTATATTCACCTTTTCCAGAATTTTTTTTTCCTTTTTGTCTTTTTTACAGACCGGTAACGGGATCGCAACCCTCAGTGTCGCGCCCGTACCGGGGACCGGCAACGGGATCGCAACCCTCGGTGTTGCACCCACACCGCGCTCAGCCAGTGAGCGGGAACCGGTCTCTACATGGGATCTGAACCCTCGGCGGGAGCTCCGCCGTGCTCCCAAGCGGCGCACTCTTCAGTGTGCCACCGGGCCGGCCCACCTTTTCCAGAATTTTAAAGAATGTCAGTACCTTGGACACTAAACAAATGCTGCTACTAAATAACCTCTCAGTGAGATAAATGTGTCTGCACTTATGTGGCTTCCATGAACTATCTGCCAAAGCAATAGTTTTGCTACAATATTAGCATCAGAATCAACACACAGATCATTACTAACTCCAGTGAGGAAACTGGTCACATAATGTTGTTGCCAGCATCTGATAAGCTGATGTTCTTGAGGGTGCACATGTGCTTAACAATGCTGACATGTGGCACAAAGTTATTAGGCTCCCAGGACTGGAAAACTGGGCACACAATGGTTTCCTACCATTCAGCAAAAAACATCCATTTGCCTTCAGCAATCACTATCTTCTGGGTAATGAAAGAATAGAAGAAAACTATGGAAACAGCACCTAATCAGTAGCATTTTGTTTACTGTTCCATTGCTTATCCCTGACATCTGAAGGACAGTTGGATCTTGAAATTAGAAACACTCCACAGATGCTACATATTGACAACCATATAGGACTCTAGAATTCCCATTAGCAACACATTCAATGTATCACAGAAAGTTAACAAACTATGTATAAAGATCAACATAAATCCTTGAACAATTCTACAAGGTGTTGAACTAGTCAGTTCATTCAAAACCAATTTGCTGGGCTGGCCCGTGGCTCACTCGGGAGAGTGCGGTGCTGATAACACCAAGGCCACGGGTTTGGATCCTATATAGGGATGGCCGGTTGGCTCACTGGCTGAGCGTGGTGTTGACAACACAAAGCCAAGGATTGAGATCCCCTTACCAGTCATCTTTAAAAACAAAAACAAAAACAAAACCAATTTGCCTAATATTTAGCTAATGAACTTCATCTATAATTCACCTCCTTTTGAATATTTTTGTATCTATTTGATCTAAAAATGAAATGAAAAGTTCAAAAAGAATAAAATCAAAAATTGAAGAAAAGTGGTGTGCACGAAGGCCTGACATGACAGACCTGCCACCAGAAGCTCCCAGGCTCCTGAGCCGTGGACAGGGCAAGGCGCAGGCCTCAGCCACCCCCCACCCACCATCCACACCCAGGCCAGCCATGACAGAGCTGCCACTGGAAGCCCCTGGGCTCCTGAGCCCAGTGGAGTGGGTGGGGGGCTGCTGGCCTTAGCCCCGCTCCCCACCATAGGCAACCAGGCTAGCAAAGGAGCCAGCCATGGGTCACCTCTGCCCTTCCATCCCTGTGCAACATCTTCGAATATAAATAAATTAATTAAAAAAATTTTTTAATCTAAAAGAAAAAAAAAAATTGAAGTCTTTAGCCAAACTGTAAAAACATCTCTTGAAGGTGTTAAAAAGTAATTATAAAGGCCAAAAACTCAAAAAACAGTCCTGATCAACCGAAAATAACTTAATAAACACTTACAAGAAACACAAAAATAATTTACCTAAGGTAAAATTATTTAAAACTTAAAATAAAGAAAAAAAGTTGGTTAAAAAACAAAAAGAGATGACTAAAAGTCAGAAGAAACTGGCTTTAGCTAAATCACACTAAAACTATTTTCAAATAGGCTGACACAAGCTGTCTGAAATGCCTATAGAATTGGATTAACAGAAATTATATTTAGATTTAGAAGGCAACCAAATAATGCATGGCTATCAGACAACAGATCTTTCTGTTTAATCAGATTTATTGAGGTATAAATCATATACAGTAAAATCCATCCTTGTTAGTATACAGTTTTACAAGTTGTTTTTTTAATGAAGAAAGGCATAACAAATTTTATTATTTTAACATGCTGGGGAGGGGCAATGCAAGAGAATCACAAGAGAATAATTTCCCAATTTCCCAGTGGGGTACCGATTGCTTACAACAATTTCCAGAGGGGAGAAGGAAGGTTGGGGGATGTAGACAATTCTGTTGAGGGACAGTAAATGACTGTTGGGGAATGAGCCTCAGAGGCAGATATTATCTTGTGAAAAGGTTTGTCCAGGTGTAGTGACCTCCTGGTCTTGCCAGTCCCTCCAGGGGTTGTTCTTTTCTGGTTATCTGATGAGATTCCTAGGGAGAGGATCTCTGCATTTCTTTTGGACAGCTTTCTTAGAAAAGGAAATTCCAGAGAAAGTTCCTCCCTGAACTTGGGGTGAGGGGAACAAGACAAGGTTAGAGGGACCTTGATTTTGAGGTCTATTTCTGAGACCTTTTAATTTTCAAAGCACTTAGTATACCAACGAGCCATATTTGATGGGATAGTTTCATGTGCCCCAACATTCCCCTGTCTGAAACTTCCCTAGAAGTTTCACACACTAAAAGCTGAGCTGATAGCTATGAAGAAAAAAAAAATCGAGTTAGTAGCTGAGTGGCAAAGGATCTCATTAAATCAGTCTCCCACTCCTGGGAATAGGTCAGTCTAATCAAACAGCTATGTCTCATTCTAGAAGATGGTGTTGCAGATGGATTTTCAAGACTTTCAAAGCTGTGCCTGCATATATGATATAAGAAAACAGATTCTTAATAAGGCATTTCTATGAAAACAAAAGAAAAACAAAAGTTAATGTCTGAAGAAGTCTATAAGCTAGTTTCTCTAGAGTCTCTAATCCTCTTTAGATGGAGTAGGCTGGCAGCAGCAATCTTACATATTTTTTGGATGGTAGTTTGCATGTATGAGTACAATGTTTGTACAAATGTAAGTTCTTAAAAGTGATTTTTTTCTTCCTAGCCAAGTTGACTCACTTTAGCCTGTAGGGTCTTAGAAAAAAGGTAGCTTTAATTCCTAGCAAGGGCTGGCTGGTTAGCTTAGTTAGTTAGAGCATGATGCTGATAAGACCAAGATCCAGGGTTCAATCCCTTTACCAGCCAGACACCACCCCCCAAAACAAACAAACAAACTGTAGGGATACCATGGGCACTCAAGCGGGACGGGGAGGGAAAAGGCACTCCCTGGCAATATGGCGCCCTTCTGGGTTCTTCTCCGCAGTAAAAGCCCGCCGGCGCCAAAACCTCAACCAGTCACAGGTCAAGACTCACCTCCCGCCCAGCCCCGTCCAATCAGCTACCACCCCGTCCACCCCCTATCCAAACCCAGAATGCAGCTCCCTATAAATATACGCACAGTCCTTGAATAAAGCAGAACTTCTCTGGTGAACCATCAGCCCGGGTCTCGTGTGTCTCTTTCGTCCGTGCCTCCTTCATTGGTGCCGAAACCCGGGAAGGAGTTCACCCCGCGCCAGGGGACTCCTTCCTCGGATGCCTCCGCGACCCCCCGGGACTGACGGTCCACCCTCGTCTATTTTCTCTGGCGCTGGCTTCCTTCACCCACCACCAGCTCATCCGTTAGGTAAGCCCCCTTTATTTTTTGGCCAGGCTTGTAGATTATTTAAACCAT